ATATATATATATATATTAATATTAGAGGAGAAAAATTTTATGTTAATTTTGTGACATTGAGTTAATCTTAAATTAATTTAAATGATATCAAATTAATTTTATCTGTTAATTAAGCTTATTGAACCCCTTGTTATTGGAATATTATATCAATCATCAGATTTCTTGTAGATCTTCTATGTTACAAATTTCACATTAGGAAATGTGTGGTAATAACTATAGAGTGGAGTAAATCTTTTCCATCGATTGTCCTAGTTCGAGGCTTGAATAATTGGAAAATTTTAATGTTTCTGGTTCATAAATCTTATTTCCTCACTAATTTTATAGATACAATTTGAGTAGAAGATAAAAGTGAAAAATTGAAATAAAATGCGTGTGAGATGTGATATCTTTAATTAGTACGTGAGATAATTTGGATTCGATATGATTATGAGCGGGAAGTGTATCTCAAATACGACTGTCTAGGCGAAGTTTCATTTCGACTAATTAAAAAATCCATCGTGTTTTTTTCTTAGGAAGGAGTTTCTTGGAAAATCATTGTGCGTAGAATGTGTGCGTGCGTCTTTTAAAGTAATTATAAATTGAGCGTTGAAATTGTGATTGTAGAGAAAGAAACTCTTGTAAAATGATTGAGATATATAATCACCCACTAGGGTTGACAACTTGACATAGTGGTGGCGCAGGGTTTTAATATTTGCTTATTTTTACGGTCATCATCATGAGTCATGACCTAATTCATGTCAATCTCATTATGGAGCTTCTGAGAAGTTTAAGTGCTAAACTAGAGATTAGTTTAACTATAAGCACGTACGTGGTGGTAATTGGATGAGCAATTCGCAGTACATGGTTCACGAACATAATCGTCACGTGTTTACAATCTGGATGAATATACAACATGCATTAAAATATTTGAAAAGTTGCAAAGTACGTAAATGTTACGTAAGAACTAACGAGGGAGGAGTTTGTTTTGATGAGAGAGAAGCATCTCGGCGACCTGGCTCAGGGACGGTCTTTGATTCATGTCATCTTGCACACACTGCAAAGCCACTTTCACCAAAATCTCCACTTCTGAAACGTTGTATTCGCCTTCCAAGTTGGGATCAATTATCTCCTCAATCCAAAATGCACTCGTCGGTGCATGCTTTATCTTCTCCGTTACCCACGTCACCAACCGTCGCTGCTCTATGCCCCTACTGTTCTCAAGGCTCTGCATTTCCATTGGACTCCTTCCACTCACCATTTCCAACACCACAATCCCATAGCTATAAACATCCACCTTCGAAGTTATGCGAAGATTGTAAACCCACTCCGGAGCCATGTACCCTCGCGTTCCTCTTATCCTCGAAAAGTTTGAATTCCCATTCCCATTCCCACCATCGTCTCTATTTAAAAGCTTTGACAACCCAAAATCTGCCACCTTAGCTTCGAAATCCGAGTCAAGGAGAATGTTTTGTGGCTTCACATCGCAATGCAAAATCCACTCCAAACACTCTTCGTGCAAGTAAGCCAACCCTCTCGCTGTACCCAAAGCAACGTTAAACCTCCTCTTCCAATCAAGTGCATTGGAAAAGAGATTATCCGCTAAGGAACCATTTTCCATGTACTCGTACACCAACAGCCTGTGCTTCCCTTCAACGCAGTATCCCCACATGTCAATCAAATTCATGTGGTTCAACATCCCAATCGTCCTTATCTCAGCTAAAAACTCAGCTTCTCCCTGAGTAGCTTCGCTTAAGCGTTTAATAGCCGCAACGCGGTTATCATATAACGTTCCTTTGTAAACAACCCCACCCGCTCCTCTCCCAACCTCTTCCCTGAACCCTTTCGTCGCGCTTTTCAGCTCTGCGTACGTGAACCTTTGAAACCCCGTGGCCGAAAGAAGGTGTTTCTGTTGTTCCACCGCCTCAGGGTTCTTGCTACTTCTCAACAAGAAGAACCACACCAGGAAAATAGTGGACAACTCAAACGCCCCTATCCCCAAAGCGAACCAAACCAAGAAACTCAACGTGGAGTTTTTCCCAGGCGTTTGATAAAACCTCTTCAACGGCTGAGACAAACCAGCCGAACACTTGATCGGGGAATACTTAAGAGGGTCCCCGGAAGATTGCAAAACCGCTTTGGGCAATTTCAGATAGAACTCTCCGTCGAAGTTGGGGGGATCCCGTCCATTGAACACCATCGTTTTGGGGTAGCAGTTGTAAGTAGAAACCTCGTTGAACTTGAACTGAACCCCTTTGCATTTATCACAAAGGCGCAGGCACAAATCCTGGCACTCCTTCAAGCTGGTAACGCGAGTGACGTTCAAGTCATAGCCGTAGGATTCCGTGGTTGGAAGATGAAGAAAAGCCATAGGCTGAGGACTCTGGCAAGAAAATAGAGAAGGGTCAAAGTGAGGCACGCAACCCTGAGTCCAATCATTAGGATCCTTAACCCTAAACCCTTTCAAGCAATGGCACGTCCTTCCAGTGACATGATGGTTACTGCACATGCTGTTAGCACCGCATATTCCATGAACGGTGCAGGGTTGGGGAATAACCTGCCACGTCACCTGCCACGTCTTGGTCTCCTGGTTGAAGCTGTACAAACGCAAGTTACCATCAGGATCCATCTTGAGTCTTCTATAGAGTTTGTTTGGGTAATCGGTGGAGCGGAAGTGAAAGCCATCGGAGGAGGAGAAGCGTCCAAAGGAATCTAACAGAGCGGTTTTGGTTACGTTGTAGGTGGATCTGCCTGCGTCGATTGGTAACCGCCACGATTCTGGCCAGTAGACGCTGGACAAGGTGGGGCCCTTGTAGAGTAAACGAAGAACGTTGTCGTTGTCGAAGTAAAGCTTGTAGAAACCGGAGGAAAAGTTGGTTGCGCTTCTCGAAGAAACCAGGCTTGCTCTCTCCGTGAGTTTTTGGTCGGGGAGAAGGGTGTCGGTTGGGGAATCGAAGCTTTGCCAAACGACTGTGTGTTTTGAAGTGAGGAGAAGGAGGTTGCCGTCGTTTCTTAGCTTAAGGTGTAGGTTGGAGGAGGAGACGGTGGCGGTTGTCCATACAATGGTTTCTCCTGCGTCGGTTAAAACGAGGTTGCCGTTTTTCCAGAGCGAGAGGCGCGAGGCTTTGCCGTTGACGGGGACGTCGCGGTTGGCCATCCATAAAACGGTGGGTGGATTGGAGCGCGTGAAGCAGACGGCAAAGCAGAAGGCGTTGTCCCCGACTTGAATGAAGCCGGCGGAGAAGTCGCCGTTGGATGAAATGAGGGTGTCGCTGGGTTTCTCTACGGAGAGTGAGGAACCCTCTGGGACTGTATCTGTGGCTGCAAATGAAGTTGAGAAGAAGAGGAGAAAGAGGAAGAGTGAGAAGACGTGCATGGCTATTGGGTGGCTAGAGCATAAAATGCAGGAATTAATGAACACCTCATTCTGAACCTGTTACGTATTTAAAGACATCTATTTACCATTGTTATTTTACTTTCATCTTCTCTTCCTACTATCTTTCTCTCATCTTTTATTTTTTAATTTGTACACACACATATGATGTGTACACGCAATCAATGAGACGAATAATGAAAATTATAAAATATTTTTCTTTCTTAAAGCTATTAATAATTCCTTCATTCTATTTGTTTATCAGAAAAAGAATCGGTCAAATTTATGCTTATTTATTACTTCATTAATCATTTTCATTTATATATATATATATTAATGTTATTTTACCATATTGATATATTTCAATGATGAAGCATCCCACTTGCTTAGACTCTTGATATTTTTTTTTATCAACTAAAAGAAATGTATTAAGGAGGTATTAGGGGTGCCAAACCCAAATACAAAAATGTTGAGAAATAATAAAGGAATTACAAGGCAATATAACCCCTCACTTCCCATAAAAGATTAACAAAGAAATTCCAACCTGTTTTAACATTTAACATTTGAACTTAGACAATTGTCTATTATATTAATCTTCGATTAACTAAGTGAACCAAGAAAGTCCCATTAATGATAAACCAATTTATTAAATATGTCTCATAACAAGACAAATTTTAAACCAAATTATCCCATAACAAGTAGTTGACACAATGTGTTATAATTTGAAATAGTTATAATAATAATCATAAATTCTAAGATTTATAGATATATTAATGATAATAACAATATAATATAACATATTTTGTGAGATCATGGAAAGAAATAAGAAATTTATATTTATAATATCGTCTTAGTCACTACTAGAAATTTCTTATTACATGCGACTTTTCTTGCGAATTTTTCATAAAATTTTGCTAGAAACGTTGTTCCTATAAATTTTTCTGCGAATTTTATCTATAGGTAATACCTTTGTAGATAATATGTTTTTGCGAATTTTAAAATTCGCAAGAAATTTTCCTGCGAAAAAAATTTGTAGGAAAGTTTCCTCAAAAAAATCGCAGGAAAGTTTCTTGCGAATTTTTTCGCAAGAAATTTTGCAAGAATATGTTTTACCAAAAAAAATTAAAGAAATTATTATAAATTCTATCAATAATTCTTCAATTTTCAAATGCTCACAATGAATTCATACGAAGCATTTGTTTTTACGCCTCCAACATGTGATACATAATCTTTTTAAATTATAAGATTATAGATTATAAGTCTAACACTCAACAATACAAATCAACTTGTAAGGTAAGTGTTGTCCCAACTTATATATTTTATTTTCAATTAATGTGGGGCTTAAAGTTTTTTTAAAATATAAAACTTATAAATTTAAATATTTTTTTGATTTTTCCTGCGAATTAAAATTGGCAGAAAAATCCACAATAAAAGTTACCTGCAAAATTTTTCTACCATTTAGTAAACATTACTTGCGAATTTATTTTTTGCAAGAAAATCTACAAGAAACAAAATAAAATTCTTACAATATTTTCTGCAAATTTTTATCATGGAAAAAAAATTCTATGATCATTAAAATTATAGCAAAATTTTCAAAAATTTCTTGTAGATTATTTTTCATAAAAAAATTTGTAAAAAATATCTGTAAATTATTTTTCGCAAATAAATTTTAAAAATATTTTTTTTTGCAGGAAAATGACATTTTTCTAGTAGTGATGGTTTGAGTTGAACAGTAACATGTAAAAGTTAATCGATATTTTATATATTTTGTAACTATGTACCAAAAATTTGAATAAAAAAACATATTGAATCAGAATAATTTATAAAAACTAACAATTTGTATTCTTATTTTGAGGAGTAAAATGGCCTTGTCAAATATATTTAGCTTGATTTAATTTGAGTTAACTAAAAATAATGTGAAAGAATATATAAATCAATTTTTTTTTATTTCAAGCCCACACGAAATCCATGAACATTTTGATCACCACTAATTTAAGTTATTTTTTTTACTACCGTAACGTTATAATTAAATTTTAAATTATATGTAAATTTATCGTGTGTTTGGATGAAGTGAGAAAATAAATATAAAAATTGAAATTGAAATTGAAAAATTCTATCATTTTGTTGAAGAAAAAGTAAAATAAAAAAAAAATGAAACAAAATGTTTGATTTTTGTACATTTTAAAGAAGATTTTACTTTATTTTCTTCGATCTGATAAAAAAATTATTAGTGTTGTGAATAAAGAAATTAGTAGATGTTTCTAAAATGGGAAAGTTGGTGGTTTCATGATTTCATCGAAACCCCTGCGCGGTACCTTCTTACGCGAAAAATAGCAAGACAAAATACTAAAGTGCGTTGCTAACTTGATAAGGGAAAGATCTCCCACCATTCAATGTGTCTCCTAATTTCTGTAAAGTGTAATCTCAAACGAATACATTGTTAGAATGTGTTAAAAAGAAATAAAGAAAACCTTAGTTACCAGCATTTGCATGTGAATATATTATTCTAGATTCTTGGCTAGGATAGAAATTAGCATGTGCTAAGTTTCCATTTTTGGTCGTACTGTTCAAACGTAGTCAGCGCATGGTAAGGAAGTGAAGCAGAAGTTGGTTGACGATTTGTTGGGTCCACACTCCACTGTAGAAAAATGTAATTGTTGAGGCCCAATTCATACTTGGCTTCAATGGCCAACCACACGTGAATCTTTTCCTTAGTTATATATGGATATGGATATAGAATATAGATAATGATATACACACTCTTGTTCTAATGTTGAATTGACTTGGAATTTGACTGCATTCTAGAGATACGTAGCCACGCTCCAACTTCAGGAACGCCTCCAATCTCAAACGTGTAAGCTGTAGTGAATAAGAGTTATAGATATCCAATCAAATTGTGAAAAGATATCCAATTAAAGACAAAAATAAAAAACTATTCGTATCATTTATTTATTATTTTTTAAAGCTAAATATATCAACTAGTCCTTCAACATGTTCAATCAATTTCTATACTTGTTAAATATTGCTGACTTGGTTTCTAACATCATTCATTATCTTACACATTGTTAATTTAATTTTTATATATGTAAAACACTATTAATTTGGTCTTTCACATGTACTGCATTCTTAGTTTGATCTAAGGATGACAGTAGATAGAGTATTATAATACTCGTTTTTATACTTATATTTAAAAATAATATCTATCTAATTTTATATTCGCGTTAATAGTAATTTTAATGATCATTCTCGTATCTATTAAATACATGTATTCTCATATATTCACATTTTACTTATAAATAAAGTAAATAAATCAATAAAAAATAACATTTTATACAAATAAACATAATATTAATTTGTCATGTCTTTAATATTACAAAAATTTAACATAACAATTTTTATAAATAAATATTACAAAACATTCAATTCTTGTGAATAAATTTAAGAAAAAAATAATATAGTAAAAGTTGTTGTTAAACTTTTAATATCATAATCATATATTAACAATATTCTCCAAAATCTACGAAAAAATTATACAAAAATTGGTTAAATTAAAATTATAGATTAAATTATATACTCTAAATTTTAAAAAACAAATATGTAAATATTTAACCTCATCATCCAAATCAACCTCTCCCTATTTTTGTAAACGTTTATCTTCCAAGTTTATATATTTTTTGATCTAGTAATATTAATAGAAATCATATGAAAAGAAAATAAATGATTAGATAATTAAAACCAACAATAAAAAATAAAATAACTTTTATTAAATAAATAAAATAAAATTATTTATTATCTTATTATTTGTGTTTCAATGGGCCTCTAAGAGTAAATTCATGAAACCTTAGTCTATGGTGTAAATATCCATCCACAACCACTCATAAATTATCTTTCTTTATTTTGGATTAACCATGTACTCGGTTCCCGCTAACTCGCGGTCTTACAAGTTAACAAAGTAGGAGATTCAAACAGGCAGTAAATCCAATCTAAATATGCTGAGTACACACATGAAGGACAGGAGAGAACAAGATACAGGGCATATAGTTTCGATTGGACCAATTCTATTTGTCGATTTTGAAAACCGATCCTTGTGATTTTACAAAATACATTTTTACCTACCTTAGCAGAAAACTAGAAACCACGAAGAATTTCCCATTCAAATTAAAGGAAGATCAATTATTTTGCTCAATGTAGCGCTTGGCTCCCTCCAAAGTGTACTTGAGCAACATTGTGACTATCATTGGACCTACACCACCAGGAACAGGAGTAATCCAACCAGCAATTTTAGATGCTTCCTCAAAATCTACGTCTCCAACAAGCCTGTAACCAGACTTCTTTGTTGGGTCATCGACAGCATTATTGCCAAAATCTATGACTGCGGCTCCAGGTTTGATCCAATTGCCCTTTATCTGTAAACATTAAGAATTTCACCATGCATAAGGGAACTATCCATCAGGAAGAAGGTTAGCAGCAATGCGTTTCATACATACTTTAATACTTTATGTTGTTGTCCATGACGTTTTAGAATAATAAACATCGAAGTGCCAATGGATAAAAATTGAAACTCCACAAGTAATGACACTTTTAAGGGTTTAAAATAAGAAGGAAAAATGAAATAAGGTTTTTTTATAAACTAATTTTACTTACGATTTGATTTTTCTACTTATTTTTCTTATCTAAAATTATTTTTGAAAAAGTTTATCCAAATAGACCAATAAAGTAAAAAATACATTTTGCCAATTACCATCATTGGCTGTCCTGCTGCTGCAATAAGAATATCTGCTTCACGTATGATATTTTCTGGTTGACTTGTGTGTGAATGGACAATAGTAACTGTAGCATCTGCTTTCAAAAGCACCAATGAAGCTGGTAATCCAACTATGTTGCCTCTACCAACCACAACTGCCCTCTTTCCCTTTATACTTACACCACTTCGCTGTAATAGTTCAATACATGCCTGCACACAGATAGCAAACTTAAATGATAAGCATGTAATTGACAAACTTGATCAGCAAGAGCTATTTAAATCAAACCAAGAAAAAGCATAATTAGAACAACCTTCCCATAGGTTTAGTGAGGATCACAGAGAGTTAAGTAACTAGTATAAAAAGTTTTTTACTTTTAGTAATAATGAAGAATATATCCAACACATTTATTCTAAATGATTAATAGGGTTCAAATATTTTCTTACATACATCATTCCTGGCCGGAGTTTCTCACCTCTCAAGAACAACATAAGATAAAAAGGTTCTATCAAACACCAATGTCTCAGCTAAAGCTAACTCCTTTCCCTTTATACCTACACCACTTCGTTCTAATAGTTCAACAAATGCCTGCATACAATAGCAAATTTAAATATGAGATTTTGAGAAAATATTCCAGAAGATAACTTGCAGTTAGACAATCTTGATCAGCAAGAGTTATTTAAACCAAAACAAGAAAAAAGCATAAAATAGAACCATCCCATGCTTTTAGTGAGGATCAGGCAGAATTTGGTTAACAAATATAGAGTACATTTTACTTTTAGGTATAATGAATAATATCTCTATGTTCAAATATTTTCATATATGCAGCGTTCTTGGCCAGCGTTTATCACCTCTCCAGAACAATATAGGATAATGAGGTTATATAAAACACCAATGTCTAAGCTAAAGCTACTCGTATGTTAAAAAATATATGCTTTAGACAAAGAAAAAATTGAACTCCCAACAGCAATACATTTCAGACCAAAATTCAGTCCAAAGAAGGGACACCTTAATGTATAGAGAGAGAGATGAATGAGGGTTTTTTTTTATTATTATTTGAAGAAAAAATGACATGTTATTTTGATAGATTAGTTGGTTTTCCCCTCTTCTATTCTTAGCCAAGCTCCAAAATCGTCTTTCTTGATGATGATTCGAGAGGGAAAATAAACTACATAAATGACATGATATTCGGGAGCATTTGCCTTGGGGATGCTGGGAAGGCGCAGGGGTTCTCTGCCTTTCATTGCAAGTTTGCCCATGTTCAAAGAATGAAAGCCATCCACATCCTTCTCAAAGCTGATTTCACTCAGAACATTCTCTTCATTTATGTGCTTAGGCAATGGAAGTTGAATCAATATACCTGTTGATATAAATACGCTAACCCTCAGAATAAAAAAAGAAGAAATAGAGTTGATATTTAAAATAGCACATTCTTGACCAACCATGTACATGAGGGTTTGCATTCAAGTCGTGAACTTGCTTTATTACTTCAGTTTCGGAGACTTGCTCAGCTAGGTCCACAACGAAGCATTTGATTCCTAATTCAGCGCATGCCTTTCTCTTCATTTCTAAATAGCGTGGTGAATCTTTTGTGCTCCCTACTACCATCACAGCTAATCCCGGAACCTGCAACATTATCACAACACATATTTCTTAATAGCAATAATTGATCTTCCAAGTATCAAGTTAACTCTTTTATCTTATCATAAAACCTTATAAGTTATAACCATTAGACGAAGAGAATCGATTTATTTATTATATAAGATTTTTTAATAAAGATAAAAAAAAAATTACAAAGATGGTCCAATAAAAATCGAATATCAGATCTTGCTTCTATCTTCCAACCACTAGACTAGTGCTAGTATCATTATTATGTTAGGTAAATTACATTTTTAAGTATCTCAATTATGATATTTTGAACTTTATGTTTCAATTAAACAAATTGAATCTCTATTGTACTCCTTTATCAATCTTTTCTTAAAATTCTACTAGAAGTACCTAGTTTTTGGCATTAAAACTTAGAGCAGAAAAATGGCGCAAATGTGGTTGAGAGAGTGAAGTTACAATTAAGCTTATTATATAGAGGAAAAGGGCTGACCTTGCCGTATTTCTGAGAGAGCAGACGCACCTCGTCGGCGATTTGATTTCGGATAGTTTGTGAAATTGCTTTGCCGTCGATTACGGTGGCCATTGGATTTGAACAGTCTATTACTTGCTCTTATCACGCCTGGAATGGTTCCTCTGGTCATTTCCATCCTCAACGCTGCTTCTTATAAGGATTCTTTTGAGGCTTCCGACACTTCTTAACATTTTTTATTTTACAAGAATTGAGCCCTTAATATTACAAACCATATTTTAATGTTCCAAGAAAGTCCAACTATACTTACTGTTGGATTTGAACAGCGGTTGAGCTGTCAAGCACGTGCAAGAACAGTTAAAGTACGAGTTAATTATTTATACATTTATAAAAATAATTTATATCGATAATTAATTATATTTTTTAATTATATTATATAAATATATTTATGATAATATGATATAATTAAAAATATAATTAATTATCAATGTAAAAAAAATTTATACTAAATTAGTATTATTTTTATGAAAGCACAACCACGAAAATCAAACATAACAATTAATATCACTGTCTCCCTGCTTCGTCCATTCAAGCTGCCTCAGCGAGAGAGGTTGGGGAAGAGTGATACATCATCTTTACTGAAACACAAGGATCTAAATTTGTTACAAGTGTTGTCTTTTCCTGAAATAGAAGGATCTAAATTTGTTATAGGTCTTGTGTTTCAAAAAATAAATTCATAAAATAAGTTAATATGTTAGTTGTTTATGTAGTATCAATTATGTTTTCTATTTATATTTTTTATAATATTTTTTTAAAAATAATTTTGTTATATTATTTTTTTAAAAGATATTAATCACTATTGATTTTATAAAAATTGTATTCTTTTTTATCTATTTTATTAATTTTTTATTTGTGTTAAATAATTTAGATGACAAACCGATTTACGTTATTTTTGTAAAAATAAATTTGATTAACCAAATTGTTTTCTTTTTATAGAAATTTTATATAGAGTAGTGATATTATCATTCAGGTATTTATAAATGAAGGACAATCTTTATTTCACAAATTAATTTTATAAAATTAAATTAAGTTCTAATTTACTTTTTAAGATGATATTAAAATTTATCATAATAATTATTAATTATTATTAGATTCATCGTGTCACTTGCTATCAAGTATGTAAAGTAATCATCACTTTATAAGTTATCATTTAGTATATCAATTCTATATTTTTTTTAAATATTAAGTTACTTTTTTCTCAAAATAATTATTTTTTCATCATTTTATAGTATTTTTCTAATTATTCATATATATACTTTTCATATGATTTTTTTTCTTCATGTTTATAGTTCATTTGAATTCAAACATTAATTATTTTTTATAATTTTAATTAAAATGAATCTAATATTATTAATTTCATGTCTTAAATTAGTTTTTTTTTAAATTATTTTGCAAAATTAAAAATAATCATTATTTTTAAAAAATTAAATTTATTCAAATATAAAAGATAAATCATCCAAATGAATATTTTATCATATAATAAAATAAAAAAAATTTATAAAATAAGATTAAAAAAAACCACAAGTATAATTTAATCATTAAAAGATTAAAAATATTGTTTTTTACAAGTTTATATTATCCTTTGAAATAACATAATAAATTACCCATAAATTCTATACATTCTTGTAACATAAATCTATTTTGTTATAAACATCTTTTAAAAAATCATTAAATTCATGTCAAACTTTTAAAAATTCACGTAACTCTTTTAAAGTTAAAATAATCTTATAAAATTTCAATTCACTTAACAAAGAGGAACTTTATCAAAGCATGCATGAAATTTATTCATACATTCTCCTCTTTCATCCTCAACTCAACTCAAAATACCATTTTATTTTATTTTTCATTGACCTTCACATACTTTAGATTATTTTAACCTTCTATTATTTATTGTGATGTCTTAATTTATTTTTAAAAAAATTATATTAGCAAATTAAGAAATATGGAATTTATTTTTGACAGACAGAAATATTCATTATCCTAGTTTTTTTTTATAGTTTTTATTACATGAAATAAAAAATATTACTGAAATGAGTCAATGATATAGTTAAATAAAATTTTGATGTTTTTAAATATTTATAATTTTTATTCTTTAATTTTAATTTATATTTAATGATTTTTTAAATTAATTTATAGTTAAGTTTTTGAATTATAATTACATTAATGTATTTACTAAATACTTTTTGGGTAACTTATTAAGTATTTTTAACATAATTTGAAATTATCAAAATATGTTTAAATAATTTATTTTTTATCTTCTAAAAATATTATTGACTAGTAATGTTGAAGTTTTTAAACATTTTATAATTTTAAATTAATAATTAATTTTATATAATCAATAATATTTGACTATTTATTAAATACATTTGTATATAATTTGACATTATTGAATTATATTCAAATAAATAATTATTCTTCTAAAATTATTATTGAATAATAATATGTAAGTTTTTAAATATTTTTTATTTTTTTAATTATTAATATTATATATGATTATTTATTAAATATTTTTAATATAATTTTACTTTATTGAATTATATTCAAATAAATTATTTATTCTTCTAAGAATATTATTGAATAATAATATGGAGGTTTTAAACATTTAATTTATGTATTTAATACATAAATTTCTTTAACTAATATTATGTATAACAAATTTTTTTATGTTACCTTTGAAAATGGTTTGAATAATTAAAATATTTCCATATTTTCAAAAGAAATTTTTTAACGCATATTTTTGTATAATTTTATATTTTTATCAATAAAATAAATGTATGGTGATTAAATTAATTTTACATGATATTTTTCTATTGATCGAGTCAATTAGTTTTAATATTCTTTTTTATCAAATAGCTTTTAGCTTAAATCATCATTCAAATTAAAAGAAATTAAAATTATCAAATAACTTCTACTCTCTTTTTTTTAAGTTATTGTTTTGAGCTATAATTCTAAAACAACTCTTAAGCTAAAATAAGTTGGGTCAAACGTAATTTAGTTCTTTTATAATTTGAGTTTTAGTTTGTGTTTTTTTTTTTATCTTATTAAAAAGGTAAACACTTTAAGTCACATTTTATCGTATGTCCATTATATGTTAATATGTCATAATGAGCATCCATTTAACATATATAGATTTATGAAAATAACAAGTAGAAAAAAGCTAACAATTATATGTGAGTAGTATTTTCTAATCGTATGTCAAATTTTAATTTGGATATAAATAATGAAATGAGATAATATTTTCAATTCATATGAAAAAACTTACTAAACAATTGTTTAAATTTTATTTTTTAATTTTGGGTCACTTTCAACCCTGGGCCATTGGTCACTATCCCTATAGATTAAGCTATCATGACTAGTTACCGTCAAAAATTAAGAGCTATCATGAATAGTCTTGCTTTTTTTAAAAAAAAAAAAAAATTATCTCACCATTTAAATTCGAGATTAAATTTTAAACTTTGATATATCACGTGAATCTAGTAGTTACGGTGATAATATATTTTGATTCAAATAATTTATTTTACAATTCTTTCCTTAAATTCTTTTTAAATTACTGTTATTTAATTGAATAGAATCTTTATTATTGACTACAAAGATATTTTATATTATACTTTTCTTTCTTAAAATACATAATTTTACTATCATTTATTAATAATGATAATTTTAATACATATAAATTTTTCCTCTGATTTTTAAATTTTATTCCATAAAAGAAAACGCGTATAATGAATGCACGAGAATCTTGCATATCTTTAAAGCGTGGATATAGATTTTGGTATATTGAACACGACTATAAGTCTACAATCATATTATTACATGATCTTCTATTTGTTGAATCCCTTTCGTTAATTAAGTTGGTTTCGTTATTTAGTTATTATATATCCTCTCTTTTGGCTCTCAATTTTTTTTCTCAATAGGAGACCGACCAATTATTAGGGTTCTAACTATGAATATGCAGATCAGTTCATAAGGTATTTTGATTTAACTAAAAATCTCGAGTTTTAGTCTTTGTTATTTGCAATTAGACTCACCAAGTATAATCCAATTTTGTTTAGATTAATCATGAGTTCCATGCCATTTCTTTTCTCTTGGGAAGTGATTTGTGCTTCTTTAGATGAAGTCGAATTGGAAAACTATCATGCCCTTCAACATTACCTTTCAATGAGTTTCTCTTTCAAGGCTTCATGTTCTTGCCTAGCCAAGAATTCTTTCGAAACAGTCCATCACACATAGAAATGTACTTTCCTCCTCCAGTCATTCCTAATGAATTGATTTACTCAATGATGCCTCAAGTGGTAACATATGCCAAAGCCGTGGCTCAAAATCCTCGTCCTGGCTTCCATTATGAAAGTCTCAATTTCTGTTTGTTCACTTTGAATTTGAATATTTTCATTCAAAAGTTTTATGATAATGACATCACCAACATGATCTTGATGGAGTCCGTAAGACAAGTCAAAACAGTTCCTGCATCAAACATGGCCATCGAATCCCTTGAGAAAGTGAAGCTAGAAGATGGTGCTGCCAAAGAAAAGTACACTATTTGTCTAACTGAATTCCATAAAGACATGGAAGTCTCATTAATGCCATGCAAACATGTGTATCACCAAGAATGCCTTGCCTCGTCAAGTGGCTAAAAATAAGTCACATGTGTCCTATATGCCGTTACCCAATGCCCACTTCAATAGTTGATTAGGCATTTTATTTAGATTCAATGTCTTTATTTAAAATCATTAAGAAATTCAATGAATTCAAATTCCAATATTCCAATTTTGATTAGGCATTTTTCACTCCAATATTCAAATTCGAGATTTTTCTTAAGAAATTCAAACTTAACACCATTTGGACTACAACTTGCAGAAATTGGAACTTATTTTAAATGCACAGGTTTAATTGCATATTCAATGATTTCTTTCCACCTAATAAATCTAATTAATGAAGGGAAAGGAACCAGGAGACTGATTTTGTTAACCCAGAGGGCTGAGGCATATAAGTACCCCACTCTCCTTAACGATATAGAACACATTAGCCTTTCCCCCTAAATATTTTTATTTGTGGTCTAGATCAATTTACTTTGGAAAAAATATAAGGGACATGAGAATTACGTACTATTTATTTGTTAATGATTATGTGGTTAAGTTTCACTTTATAAGCACAACCCTCATAATGAAAAAAAATTATTATTAAGTTATAAGTAAAAGTTATATTCATTTTTAAATTTTTTATTTGATTATATCATTTTTAAAATGTCAAAAAAATTATTTGTAACGTATGTTAATGAGATGAATAATTTATACATTAATATCATTCTGGTCTTTCACGAGTTTTTTTTTTTACTTTGTCCTATTCAAACATAATTCACTATCTTTTAACTTTCAACAAGAATGTTTTTACTTAAACCTTTCACAAAAGATTAGAATTAATTTCTAGTGAAACTTGTCATATTTTATTAAGAAAATTATGAAAATTTAGTAAAAAATTCATACTTAATGATATTACTAATGAAATATCCCTTAATCACAAACATAAGACATTTCAATATTTTATCTAATCAAACATGATTGTTTCTATTTTATATAACACTCGGTAGGATTAGAATACAAAAGGTAGGCTGTCTTTTTAGATTGTTTCTAATATATACAAAAATAAAATAAAATAAAAATATTAATAACATTAAAAATTCGTGGCTTTGGACCATAGAGACATGTGCGTATATTGTTTCAATCATATCTAGTGTAAGGGCAAAAAATTAAATAAATAAACGAGACTACGTTTCTTAAGAAGAATTCTATTTTGCTTTATATTTTATGAGCATATCACGTTTTACCTTGCAAGGAGTTATGAGCATATCATGTTTTAAGCTACTTGATAACCGAGACGAGGTTTCTTAACAAAGAAGGATCGTGAAATTTGCAAGTGTTCAGAAATATACATTGTCCTGTTTTCAAACACCAAGTCTAAGTGCATTGAAGCCCATTTTGCAGAGAAAACAAAAGATAATATATAGTAATCTATAAGAGCATTAATATCAATATGAAAGCAAACAAAATATCTATAAAAGATTAAGGGATCAGATATTAAAAACATTCATGGAAGAACACAAATTTTGGAAAATATAAACATTACATCTGAATTTATGCAGATTTAATAGAACATGTTTGTTATATAAATATAAATAGGAACATAATCATTTGTTGCTAGCTAGAATTTGATCATTAAATGCTAGTTAGAGCCCTTGGTTAGCTGCCTATAGATAAAAGAAGTGTATTGTATTTTCCACTGACTAATAGAAGTATATTGTTCAGTTCATTGATCTCTCTGTTTCTCTTGTCTGTCTCTCTTTATCCTTTATGGTCTGTTCTTTTTCCCTCTTCCTCGCTTTCCCTTTCTTTCTTTCTCTTTTCCACCTAAATCCTTTATCTATAAAGTTGATAGTAGCATTCATGATGAAGAAGCTTCTGACTTGAGTTTTGACTTGAGCTTCTCAGTCAGAATGTTTGACCGGGCGTGGATGTTGATAATAATGACGACGGTTGCAACTTCAGTGCTCATGGTTAGGTCATTTCCCGAAGCTGATAAGGTAAAATCCTTGCCCGGCCAGTCAGATGTTTCCTTCCAACAATTTGCTGGCTATGTAGCAGTGGATGACAATAATAACAGAGCTCTCTTCTACTATTTTGTTGAAGCACAAACCAACCCTGCTTCCAAGCCTCTAGTTCTCTGGCTAAATGGAGGTAAATCCCTTTCTCTTTCTAATTTCATTCAAACCAGTTCTATAGTTTTATAAACACATGGATCAATTTTTATTTATTTATTTATTTATAACGAACTCTTAGAGATGGGAAAAGAGTTATCTATATATATATATATGTGTGTGTCTTTTAAGTTTCAATTGGTTTGTTGCAGGGCTGGGCTGTTCATCCGTTGGAGTTGGAGCCTTCACCGAACATGGTCCTTTTCTTACAAATCAAGGACAGGCTATCGTTCAAAACCAGTATAGCTGGAACAAAGGTGCTGCAATATTTTAACAAACAATAAACTCTCATTACTCCATATGTTTAAGACAAATTGTCGCATCATTCTTTTGAAATATACAAATTTAATAAATCTCTTAAAAGTAAATTCATTAACTATATTATTCTTGTTGTGGTGAGTTTTTTTTTTAAGAAACTAAAATGATAATAAATTATACAACTTTAGAATTATAATAATAAATTATATATTTTAAGACTAAAATCTTTCATTTTAAATTTATACTAAGACTATATTTTGTGTCTCGTGAAGTGAAAGACAATCCATCTCTTTCCTTGGCAGTGGCAAACATTTTGTACGTTGAGTCACCGGCAGGTGCTGGATTCTCTTACTCTCTCAATTTGTCGTTTTATAAAACAGTGAACGATAAGGTCACAGGTGCTTCACTTATCCTTATCCTTATGCAACGCTTTTAAATTTTAATTAATCCATTTCTTCTTTTCTTCATCTTACTCTTTTGTTAGGCTTTTTGCCCATTATAAATTAAACAAATATCAAAAATAAAATTATTTACTAAAATAAATAATTAATATCAACGCTACTAGATCAAAGAAAACGTTTTTGAAAGTGATGTTTTTTTTCTTTCAAAAATGTTTAAATTGTAATTTTATTTTAAAATTATATTTATTTTTTTATTATTAAATTTCAAATTTACAAACTTAAATATTAATTTTATGTAGATTTAAGATAATATTTATAGTTTTACTTATTTATTTTATTTAATATATTATGAATGTGGTAAGTTATTTGTTGAATTAGATAAAATAAAATCAATTTGTTATAATGTTTACACTTAAATTTAATTGTATAAATTTTGTAATATCTAGTCGATCTTTCTTTCTTTACTTAGATGTATGATGTATCTTCATTCTTTACAATAGTAATTCATTTGAAATTGTAAGAATTAAAAAGTAATAATTTCTTCTAATTGCAAAGTGATGTATCTATTTGCATGTTTATAAATTTGTTTTGTTTGTAGCTTAAGTGAAACTTCTATAATAGTTTCTAAATGATTCTAGGCATAATCATATTTAGTAGATTAACTTGGTTGTTAGTAGATTAACTAATTTTTCAAAATCAATCATAATATATTAAATACTAAAAAACCAAAAAAAAAATAAAAAAAATTATAAATATGATCTTAAATATACAAGTATAATAGAATTAATATTTAAATTTAGAAACTTAAAGTTTAATATAATTATTAAAATTAAACATTAAATTAAATTATAATTTAAATATTTTGAAGCATTTTCTGTTCAATTGATTCATGATGGAACATGAATAGAAAATGTTTAGAGAAAGGTATTTTCTATTAAAAAATTATAGGTTCAAAATGCGTTGTTCTCCTAAATGTTTTTTATTCAAATATTTTATGTTTAAAAAATGTTACTCCAATTTTATTTTTTTTAATCTGGGTCACATTAGTACAAACTATTTGTTTTGATAAGTATTTTTTCAAAAATTTTATTTTTGATATTTGTAATAATTTTTAAATTTAGAATTGCCAAAAAATGGTTGGTCAGATTCCCTCAAAAGTTGAATAAAAAATTAACATTTTGTGTATTAATATTAATTGTTTTATTAGCCCGAGACAGTCTGGTTTTCCTGCAGCGCTGGTTTGCCAAGTTCCCAGAATACACAAATAGAGATTTCTATATAACAGGAGAGAGTTATGCAGGTAAAAACAATAATTTACATTTTGATCCTCTGCGGTTTTCCTAAAAACTGCATGAATCTCATCCATTTATTTTATTTTATTATATAACAAATTAACATTAAAAATTAGATGTTATTAAGTTTGAAACTGCACTGCATAGAATCGGATCCTAAAATCTATAGCTTGCCCACGGGCAATGTTGATGTCTTTGGCATGGCAGGTCACTATGTTCCTCAACTTGCTGAACTCATTGTTAAGAGTAAAGTGAATTTCAATCTAAGGGGCATAGCAGTGAGTAAAATATGGCCCTTGAGGCTTTTACCCTTTTTTTTATTTATATTTTTTATAATGGTTACTTTCATGTTGTGCCATTTTCTGAGTTATCTTTGCATTTGCATTGTAGCTAGGAAACCCCCTTCTGGATTTGGACACTGATATGAATGCAGTTGATGAATATTACTGGTCTCATGGAATTATTAGCGATTATGCTTACAAAATCAGTACCTCTCTATGTAACTCGTCAAGAAGATATAGAGAAAACTTTAGTGGCCATCATTCTACTGATTGTCTTGTTGCAGCTCAAAAAGTATCGGAAGAATATTCTTCTACACTTCTCATTGACAAATATTATGTCATTGGTGACAGATGTCTTTCATACAATCTTTCTCAGGCAAGTTTTCTTAGTGAAATGCTAAATTTAGGAACGTTTCGCCTTAGGAAGTCGTCCCATAATGTGCAGCAAATTGAAGATCCTACTGACCAGGTGAGATTTCTCTAAAAACATAGCATTTTGATTTAATTTTATTCTTTTTCTTTTTTCCTAAATTTAAATAAAACGGTATACGTTTATTTTTATAATTTTAAAAGACAAAAAAAAAAAAAAAAAGTTGAGATAAACCAATTGGTGCAGCAAATATGCTTTTTAGTTTTAAAAATGTTCATATTTTATTCTGATTGGATCTGTGTAGTGTTAATTGGAATTTGCTTTTCAATTTAGATGAAGCAGCCAATTGATGAGTGTAATCTGAAATATTCAGAGATGTACTTGAACAGAAAAGATGTGCAGAAAGCCCTCCATGCTCGCCTGGTGGGAACTACCGATTATCGTTTGTGCAACAAGTAAAACTACTATAGTTTAACTTTTATGTATGATTCGTGCAACTAATTACAAATTATTTTAAAAATAATTAATAATGAATGAGTGTAGGGCTGAGAATTACAATGATACCTTTAAAAAAATAAAAATATATTTTAAAAGGCTGGGGCACAGCAATTTTCACGTGGCATGTTACATCCAATTTTTTGGAAAAAAAAATTAAATAAAACTATCCCCACAATCATTAAAAAAAGACAAAAAAGTCCTATATATATATATATATATATGATCCGGCTGACATTTCTTACATTTTCAGGATTTTACAAACAAATTATGAGCGATCGGACATAGAGATCCCAACAACTGATGTTATAGGCTTCCTTGTAAAATCAGGTCTTCGAGTCACGGTTTACAGGTGATATATGTGACTGACAGTTTAATTATTAATTAAAAAGTTAAATTAATTTATACATAATTTATTGATTAATTAATGAATTTGATATGCATGATGAGATTAATCCATTCCATGTGATGATTTGAAAATGTATAGCGGGGATCAAGACTCTGTGGTTCCATTCATGGGCACGAGAAGATTGATTGACGGACTGGCCAAGAAACTGGCACTTAAAACAACCCTGCCTTACACTCCCTGGATTCTCGACAACCAGGTTAATATATATATATATTCATTCTCTCTTATTTTAAGGACTTTATTTAAATATAAAATTATTTAACAAATCATGATTAACAAAAGCATTTTCTAGTTTTACATATATAACTAATTATAGGTAACATGACAAATCATCCAGGTAAAAAAGAAATTTAATACAATTACTTTTATTTAATTTCGCCATAAATTCAAGTCTTATTTTCAAAATACACTTTTATTATAAATGATTATTATCTCTGTATATTTAGGTTGTTATAATTTTACACACATGCAGGTTGGAGGATGGACACAAGTTTATGGCAATCAAGTGACGTATGCGACAATAAGAGGAGCCTCACACGAAACTCCAGCTACCCAACCAAGGAGATCTTTTGTATTGTTTAATGCGTTTGTTGAAGGAAAACCACTCCCTAAAGCATCATAATTCAATATGCTTGCTCAATTGGTTCCCTAAGAGAACAACTGTCATATTAATTTACCACTATTCTTTCGGATATGTTTCTCCCAAAATGCCGTTACCCAACAAAAATATGAAGTCAAATTAGAATAATTTTTTTTATAAATTATAATTTACTTATAAATGAGTTAAAATAATATTGAACAAGTTAATAAGAAAAAGTTTTTATAAATTAGTTTCTGTATAACGAATTTTAATTTATAGGAGAAAAAATAATTCTCCCTCAAAAGTGCTTTTAGATAAGTTTATTCAATCACACATTCACACTTAAAAGTTGACTCTACAAAATCTATTTAGCAAAATAATTTAAATTAGGCTCAATAATAATGTTGTTATATATGATAGATTTATTTAACGTAAAATAACACTTATGTTTTATTCGTTACCAAAGAAATAGAATAAAAATAATTTGTTTGTTTAAATTAAAAAAAAAAGTGTTTTCAAACAACACTTTTTAAAAATAACTTTTTAAGAAATAAATAGAAGTTTTTTTTTTTTTTTTTAAAGAAGAAGAAGAAGAAGAAGAAGAAATAGTAGTAGTAGTAGCAAATGACTTGTTTTAAGAACAAAATTTCAAAATAAACACATTAAAAAGTGAAAAAAATTTGCTTATTTTTATTTATAAAAAAAATTCTTTTATAAGAAAATAAAGGTTTAAACTAATGCATCCGATGTGTCTTTGGCTAAGGTCAAATAAATAAATATGTGGATTTTTCTTTAAAGTATTCTCTTATAAAGTTTCGATATTAATAGGCTTGAATCTGGCTTGAAATACAAATGTCTAATATAATTTGTTCTATATCTAAAATTAGGTTTCGGAACAACTTAATTAATCATTTGATTTTAAAGATTGTAGTGAAACTACAAATCATTTGATTATAAGTCAATTCATAAAATTTTATTAAAATAAAAAATATTTTAAAGTAAAAAAGAATGACAATATAATTAACTAATTCAGGCAATAATACGGTTAAAATTTAAGCAAGAACTTGATATTTGTTTTTGCAGCTATTGAATTATTAATATTTTATTTTTACGGTGATTATAATAAAAATAAAAAGGAATAGAGGAGGCACTAAAACAAATATAGATGTTGGTGTTGTATTTGAAATAAAAAGCCCAAAAGAAGCCCAATTCATGTGAGAGTAAAAATACTGTAGCTGCATGAAGTCATCTGTTTTATTTGAGGTATGGGAGTTGAATGGGGATACAGATTGTATATTGAAAAATGTATTTTTTGAATTGTGAATAGTATCGAGAACCTTAAAATTGATGATCATTATATATTTTTATATATATATATATATATAAAAGGGTTTAAACGATACCGATATAATTTTTACTAAGTATTACACCATTCAATATTTTTATATTAAATGTGAATTTTGTAAATCTAACTGTTAGATTGAAAGTTTATATCACTTTATATGTGTATAACAAATTTTATTAAAATTGAACAACAAGTTGAAGGTAATCAAAGTGTTCATATTTTATTATATTTTAAAGTGTATATATTACATCAATTTTTTTTTACAAGAATGGAGTATTAAATCATCTTGTATTAATATAAAATTTTGTATATATGATCTAATATTAAAGAACTTTCAATCTAACGGTTGAATTTACAAAATTCACATTGAATATAAAAGTTATTGAATAGTGTAATACTTGGTAAGAGTTACACCAGTGTCGTTTGAACCTTCCTCATATATATATATATATAATTTAAAAAAGACATATTATAACACATATATTATTAATAACTAAAAATCATAAGTCTAGAATATAAAATGTATAATTAAAGTTAAAATTTGTTGTAATAGAAAAATATTAAAATTTATTATAAATATTTTGTAATTAGAATTATTTTATATTTAATATTTATAAAAATAATATATATGTATATATAATTCAACAAAAACATATTACAACACATATATATTATTAATAACTAAAAAATCATAAGTCTAGAATATAAAATGTATAATTAATGTTAAAATTTGTTATAATAGAATAATATTAAAATTTAATATTCTCCTATTATAATCATTTATATTAAATTTATAATAAAAATTCTAATATTAAATTTAATTAAATATTTGTAATTAACAAACTATTACAAATTTTAGATCTTATTTATTTATTATATTTTATAATAATTTTATTTATTCGAGTTAGAGATTCTTGAAGTTAAGAAGTAAAGGATAACACGTTGTGATTTTGTATTTATATTTATTATAAATGAAATATATTTTGATAACTACTCTTTTGATCTTCACTTTTTGTGAATCATTATACCGTAAAAATAAAAATAAAAAACTTATATTATCTTTAAATAACTATAGTATAAAGTGTTTTAGTCCATCTATAGTGATTTACAAAAATAGAGAATACATTATACATTAAATATGAGTAATATAATTATATGGTTTTTTGTTTTTATGATTGTTTTTCATTAAATGTTTCTGATAAAAAATTTATAAGAATTATTTTAAAAAAAAATTCGTTTTAGAATGATATTTACTCAAACATTTATATTTAATTGCAACTAATTGTATACATAAAATTTGGGTGATAATTATTATATAATTTAATTGAATCTTTTAAAAAAATAATATTTTTAAATTTTGTTAAAATCATCATTAAACAGTAATAATAGTGATTTTATATTTTAGAGAGATAAAAATAAAAATAAAAATTTACACATTTTACAAAATGAAAAATATATTGCAAAGACTAAAAATAATGTTTAATAATTTTAAAAAAGTGAAAATAGACACATAAAATTCCAGGAACTAAAATTGAAACTCACTTATTTTATATTAAAAACTTAAATTTCTCACCAGAGTAACGGCAACGACAAAAGTTCTCATTCTCATTACATGATTCCATGTGACCAATAACAGCATACTGATGAGCCTAAATTATACTTGTTTTTATACAAGATTTAATGATCAAATTCTTACATTCTTTGTATCATTGCATTTTAATTGTTCTCATTTTGGTTTCTTTTGTATATGCAGGTATTCAAGTAGAGAATTGAGGATAAAAAGGCCATTGGAGTGGAAACTCAAAGAATTAAGGAGCAGAGAAGGCTACCGCGCTGAGCGCGCCAGAACACGCGCCGAGCGGGCACAAAACAGAGAGAACTCTCAGCCTTTGGAGCTTCACGCTGAGCGCGCAAGTAAAACGCGCTGAGCGCGCTCGAGGCCGAGAGCAATTGGAGCATCAGGGAAAGCACCCGCGCTGAGCGCGCAGCTTAACGCGCTGAGCGCGTAAAACCTAATCTGTCTCCCCAAATGCGTATAAAAGGCAAATTTTGAGGGTTTTCTCCCTCATTCACTCAGGGGCGCCTCCAGGAGCTGTGGAAGGGATTCCCAGAGCTTGGGAACGGCCATGGTGGATCATTCCTTCGGTTCTTCCTTTCCTCTTCCATCTCTATTTTATTTTTCCCCTCTTTGTTTTGAGAGGTTCTATCCTTTGTATTGGGGTTTTGATGTAACCAACAAACTTTATTGTAATCCTTTTGTGTTAATGATATATATATGTTTTGTTTCATTCTTTGTTGTGTATGATTCCATGCTTAATGCTTGCTTTGGCTTGATCACCCTTTGCATGATTTAAGGTTTCATTGAGTATTGGGAAATATCCTTGAAACTAGTTCTGAACATATGCCTAGTGGGAATTGTACCTAGGGATAGGGCTTGACCCATTAGTAGTCTTAAAACCCTAACCGGTAATGC